GTCGACTATCAACAGTTTTTCGACAGTCGACTATAGATAGTACTATCGATAGTTATTCGAAAGTCGACTATCAATAGTTTTTCGACAGTCGACTATAGATAGTACCATCGATAGTTATTCGAAAGTCGGCTATCAATAGTTTTTCGACAGTCGACAATAGATAGTACTATCGATAGTTATTCGAAAGTCGACTATCAATAGTTTTTCGACAATCGACTATAGATAGTACTATCGATAGTTATTCGAAAGTCGACGATCAATAGTTTTTCGACAGTCGACTATAGATAGTACTATCGATAGTTATTCAAAAGTCGACTATCAATAGTTTTTCGACAGTCGACTATAGATAGTACTATCGATAGTTTTTCGACAGTCGACTATAGATAGTGCTATCGATAGTTTTTCGACAGTCGACTATAGATAGTACTATCGATAGTTTTTGGACAGTCGACTATAGATAGTACTATCGATAGTTCTCCGATAGCCGATTAACGATAATTTTGTGATAGTCGACTCTCGATAGAACTATCCATAGCTTTTCGATAGTCGACTATCGATAGTACTATCGATAGGTATTCGAAAGTCGACTATCGATAGTTTTTCGACAGTCGACAATAGATAGTACTATCGATAGTTACTCGAAAGTCGACTATCAATAGTTTTTCGACAGTCGACTATAGATAGTACTATCGATAGTTATTCGAAAGTCGACTATCAATAGTTTTTCGACAGTCGACTATAGATAGTACTATCGATAGTTATTCGAAAGTCGACTATCAATAGTTTTTCGACAGTCGACTTTAGATAGTACTATCGATAGTTATTCGAAAGTCGACTATCAATAGTTTTTCGACAGTCGACAATAGATAGTACTATCGATAGTTATTCGAAAGTCGACTATCAATAGTTTTTCGACAGTCGACTATAGATAGTACTATCGAGTTATTCGAAAGTCGACTATCAATAGTTTTTCGACAGTCGACTATAGATAGTACTATCGATAGTTATTCGAAAGTCGACTATCAATAGTTTTTCGACAGTCAACTATAGATAGTACTATCGATAGTTTTTGGACAGTCGACTATAGATAGTACTATCGATAGTTCTCCGATAGCCGATTAACGATAATTTTGTGATAGTCGACTCTCGATAGAACTATCCATAGCTTTTCGATAGTCGACTATCGATAGCACTATCGATAGTTATTCGAAAGTCGACTATCAATAGTTTTTCGACAGTCGACAATAGATAGTACTATCGATAGTTATTCGAAAGTCGACTATCAATAGTTTTTCGACAGTCGACTATAGATAGTACTATCGATAGTTATTCGAAAGTCGACTATCAATAGTTTTTCGACAGTCGACTATAGATAGTACTATCGATAGTTAATCGAATGTCGACTATCAATAGTTTTTCGACAGTCGACTATAGATAGTACTATCGAGAGTTATTCGAAAGTCGACTATCAATAGTTTTTCGACAGTCGACTATAGATAGTACTATCGATAGTTATTCGAAAGTCGACTATCAATAGTTTTTCGACAGTCGACTATAGATAGTACTATCGATAGTTATTCGAAAGTCGACTATCAATAGTTTTTCGACAGTCGACTATAGATAGTACTATCGATAGTTTTTGGACAGTCGACTATAGATAGTACTATCGATAGTTCTCCGATAGCCGATTAACGATAATTTTGTGATAGTCGACTCTCGATAGAACTATCCATAGCTTTTCAATAGTCGACTATCGATAGTACTATCGATAGTTATTCGAAAGACGACTATCAATAGTTTTTCGACAGTCGACAACAGAGAGTACTATCGATAGTTATTCGAAAGTCGACTATCAATAGTTTTTCGACAGTCGACTATAGATAGTACTATCGATAGTTATTCGAAAGTCAACTATCAATAGTTTTTCGACAGTCGACTATAGATAGTACTATCGATAGTTATTCGAATGTCGACTATCAATAGTTTTTCCACAGTCACCTATAGATAACACTATCGATAGTTATTCGAAAGTCGACTATCAATAGTTTTTCGACAGTCGACTATAGACAGTACTATCGATAGTTATTCGAAAGTCGACTATCAATAGTTTTTCGACAGTCGACAATAGATAGTACTATCGATAGTTATTCGAAAGTCGACTATCAATAGTTTTTCGACAGTCGACTATAGATAGTACTATCGACAGTTATTCGAAAGTCGACTATCAATAGTTTTTCGACAGTCGACTATAGATAGTACTATCGATAGTTATTCGAAAGTCGACTATCAATAGTTTTTCGACAGTCGACTATAGATAGTACTATCGATAGTTTTTGGACAGTCGACTATAGATAGTACTATCGATAGTCCTCTGATAGCCGATTAACGATAATTTTGTGATAGTCGACTCTGGATAGAACTATCCATAGCTTTTCGATAGTCGACTATCGATAGTACTATCGATAGTTATTCGAAAGTCGACTATCAATAGTTTTTCGACAGTCGACTATAGATAGTACTATCGATAGTTATTCGAAAGTCGACTATCAATAGTTTTTCAACAGTCGACTATAGATAGTACTATCGATAGTTATTCGAAAGTCGACTGTCAATAGTTTTTCGACAGTCGACTATAGATAGTACTATCGATAGTTATTCGAAAGTCGACTATCAATAGTTTTTCGACAGTCGACTATAGATAGTACTATCGATAGTTATTCGAAAGTCGACTATCAATAGTTTTTCGACAGTTGACAATAGATAGTACTATCGATAGTTATTCGAAAGTCGACTATCAATAGTTTTTCGACAGTCGACTATAGATAGTACTATCGATAGTTATTCGAAAGTCGACTATCAATAGTTTTTCGACAGTCGACAATAGATAGTACTATCGATAGTTATTCGAAAGTCGACTATCAATAGTTTTTCGACAGTCGACTATAGACAGTACTATCGATAGTTATTCGAAAGTCGACTATCAATAGTTTTTCGACAGTCGACAATAGATAGTACTATCGATAGTTATTCGAAAGTCGACTATCAATAGTTTTTCGACAGTCGACTATAGATAGTACTATCGATAGTTATTCGAAAGTCGACTATCAATAGTTTTTCGACAGTCGACTATAGATAGTACTATCGATAGTTATTCGAAAGTCGACTATCAATAGTTTTTCGACAGTCGACTATAGATAGTACTATCGATAGTTATTCGAAAGTCGACTATCAATAGTTTTTCGACAGTCGACTATAGATAGTACTATCGATAGTTATTCGAAAGTCGACTATCAATAGTTTTTCGACAGTCGACTATAGATATTACTATCGATAGTTATTCGAAAGTCGACTATCAATAGTTTTTCGACAGTCGACTATAATAATAATAATAATAATAATTTTATTGACAGTCTTGAGATACAATCAGTGGTAACGGGTCCGTCAAAGCCTGTAATGGCTTGTGGGACGTGACCCGGCAACGGCGTAAAGGAAAAACAACAAAGGAAATCGGAATAGAAACATACATCACTACAACAACAACAAAAACTACAACTCACATCGAATGCACGAAAAAAAAAACACGTAAACATTTCTAATACTGACAACGTAGCAGAAAAAGAGCCAATACATTAAAAATGAGGTAGCACAGTAACGATGTCTAACACTTTGTACTCAGAAATTTTTTTAACTGTCGTTTTGAGTTTATATCACGGAGTGGTGCTGTCAATTTGTTCAATATATGAGGAACATAGAATGACCGCTTTCTTTTTCCATATTTCGTGTATACTCTGGGGATCGCGAAGTGTTCGCTGTCCCTTAGTGAACGCTGAGTTGTACGTGAAACTTTAAAAGGACTATTCCAGTAATGTTTTTCTATGACACATCTCTCGAAGAGTGCTGCAAAACGAGGGAGATGTAAAAAAGAGAAGAGATTGTCAGATAGGATGTTGGTACCGTATGCTACAGCTTTCAAAATTCCTTTTAGAATACTGTCAATTTTGTTTTGCCAACCCAAGGAACAGTTAGCATGCAGAGTAATACCGTAGCGCAGCACACCATAAGCCAGAGCATTTGCTATCATTTTTCGGACTGTGAAAGGCAAAAACACTTTTGTTGAATAAAGCAAACATGAAACACTACGTAGTTTTTTAGCAATATGACAAAGATGGGAATTCCAGGAGAGATCACTATCAAACAGTACTCCCAAATACTTGACTGTATTAACATGGTTAATGGGTAGACATCTACAATCAACACAGCTCGATGAGTGTAGAAGAAAAGGTGTATCAAGAACTTTGCGTTTAAGGGGACTACAGAAACACACAAGTTTTGTTTTTTGTGTGTTTACTTTGATAAAGTTAGAATTAAACCAGTCCATCAACCGTGTAGCGTTTGTCTGTAACGCAGTCATTGCACTAGTATAATTTATGTGACGCGATACCAACAAAGTATCATCGGCGTACTGATATAGTTCACATCCCGACACCGCCTTTGCTTGATCATTCACATACAGGTTAAAAAGTAACGGTGCTAAAACGGAGCCTTGCGGTACGCCTGATTTTAGAGTGACATATGTGCTTCTAGTGTTACAAATAAGAACTTGTTGCGTTCTGTTTGACAAAAAGCTGCTGAGTAACGAAAAAAAGGGCCCACGAAAACCGTAGTCAAATAGTTTCTTCAATAAAATTTTGTGACAGATAGAGTCAAATGCTTTTGATACGTCTAAAAACAATGCGCAAGCAAATTTGTTGTTATCAAACGAGGCGTACAACGTATCACCAAGATCCTCAAGTAAGGAATCGGTGCCACGCCCTGCAGTAAAACCATATTGTCGTTTTGACAACAGATCAAACTTATCTAGAAATGAGGTCATTGTTTTTAGTAAATGTTTTTCGAGTATCAGTGCTAAACACGGAAGGATAGATATTGGTCTATAGCTTGCAACGTCATTGCGCTTACCTCCCTTGTAAAGCGGCCTTACAATAGCGGCTTAAGTGAAATATGTGAAAGATATAAAGAAAAATATATATACATATCAATGTACACACTAATGAAAGCCTTTTCTAAAATCCCTCCCCCTTTTACATGCTACTTCCTGGACTAAACAATTACTAAAATTTATCTCCCTCCCCCCAGTTCTTCTCTGATGACTTCTCTTGATTGGCGTTTCGGGCTAGTTGACGATGGTTGTTGAAAGTTCTTTTTACATGATGCTTGATGTTTTAAACAGTTCTATGGTCGAATTATGGATCTGGACGGCTTGCTTGATGATGGTCGGCGGTAGTTGGTTCTTGATTACAGGCTTCTTAAGGAATAAACAATTTTATGGTCGAATCGGGGTTGCTGTCGGTCTTCGGGTGGGGATCGCGAGGGTGCTGAAAAGAAAGGCCTTCATTAGTCTCCCCCTCCCCTCCCCTTTTTGTGTTCCTACTCCCTCTTTCCCTGTCCTCCCTTTGTCTTTTGACTGCAGGCCCCCATGGTCCCGGCATATGGCCCTGTCCCTCGGCCGTAACTCTGGTCGTCCCCCCCTCGTCACTCTCTCAACAAGGGGAGGGAACTTCCAGAGCACAAGGTCGGGGCTTTGTCCCCCTGGCCCCCACACCTGCTAAATCAGAGAGGCCGGTTTCCCGGCCTCTCCGCCCCAGCAGGCTGCCAAGGGCTGTGGCTGTGGAGCGGGTCCGGCGGGGGCACCGCTATCATCGACCGAGGCCTTGGGGGCAGTGTATGCGGCAGTCTTATGTTTGGTTGTGCGTATACATTCGTGTTATTTGTAGGTGTCCCCATTATACTAGTTTATGTAAATGGTTCCCGGGCCGAGACAAGCGGCCCTGCTCTTCCCGAGCTTTGAGCCGCGTCCAGTGGGCCCCTCCCCTCCACCCATCTGCTGGAGGGGTGGGCCCACCTAAACGCCCATCTGCGGGGGCGCCGCTTACGCCTGTACTCGCGCCACGTCGCCATTGCTGTTGTGGTGTAGGCTACTTGGTATCGTATTATATGTTATGTGGGAGTGCCAGAGAGGGCCACAGAAATCCCCGCGCCCCCGGCGCGCACCCGACCCACGTCCCACCGCTGCCTCACGGCCCCTGAGGTGCCCGCTGCTCGCCCCTTGTGGCCAAGGAGCCGCAGCGGGCACTGCATGTCTCAATGACAGCCCCATCCGGCCGGAGAAGACAGCGGCAAACCGCGGGCCCAGCCCGCACACCGAGCGCGGGAACCCCCAGGGCCCCCAACACTACCTGGTCTGTAGCAGTTAATGTATGAAGGTGGCCGCGAACCTCCCCAGATGGCCCTGCTCTTGGCATTGGGTTGCCAATGTGCTGGAGCTCGAGTACCTCCACTCCATGGTGAGGGGCTATTCACCGTTGCCTCACCCCTTCCCCGTACCTTACCTATCAGTACGGGGTTTTGGAGAGTAGCGTCGGCGGGGGCACCGCTGCATGGGGGAGTATTCCCGGGTTTCACCTTCCTGTTGTTGTGCAAGTGAGTGTGTCTGTGTGTTTGTGAGTTCCCTTCCCCCATCCCTCCCATCCCTTCCCTCTTCCCTGTGCGCCAGGAAGCGCCTGGGCACGTGTTGCGTGTCGGAAGGTGCAGAGCACCTTGCACCTGTGGTGCGGGCGGGGACGCTCACCGATTATTGCACTGTGCCCGCTTTTTCCGACAGGCAATCACTTTTTTGTTATGTTAGCCCTCTTCGTTCTAATGTGCCTAATTTTGCCCGAATGAGATTTAACATTTCTCCAATTAGTTTAAGAATGTTTTGGTTTTTTAGAATGTTAATTTTATATTTATCCGTGACAGTGGTCACTTTGCCGGGCAATAAACTGTACACTTGTTCCGCGAGAGGTTTTAGTAACGGGCATTCATTAAGATAGTGTAGGAAATTAACGCACTGCCTCCCGAAGAAGCAGTTTTGGTCGGGAGACAGTTTCACTCTATAGAGGTAATAAGGCAGCCTGCCATGATTGGTGACGACCTGTGAGACGTAAAAGTTTGCTGGAAAATTGTCTGGTATATCGTATATACTAGGGATCCATGTACTCAATTCGGAGTTTCGCCCCTCCTCTTTCCATCGCTGATCCCATTCTTTAAAGAGTTGAATTTTGATTTCTTTTTTGACATAGTTTTTTCCCATGGGTAGCGCTACCGGTTCTCCATGAGTTCGCGCTTTATTTGCTAGTTTATCTGCCAATTCGTTTCCCTCCACCCCAGTATGGCCTTTCACATGCATTAGATTTATACTATGCATGGTTCGAATTGTTTTAATGGTATTTTTTATGAGTTGAATTACTGGATGGTTATTGTGGGGGTTAGCTAGGGCCTGCAGTGTGGATAAGCTATCCGTGAATAGGTTAATGGTTGTACTGTTTTTAAAAGTTGATACGTATTCCAGACTTTTCAGAATTGCAATCATTTCGGCATCATATATTGTTGCGTGCTTTTCTAATTTGTACATTGCTTTCTTATTTGATTTTTCCGATTCATCTAGTATTATAAATGCTGCTCCTACTGTCTGGTTACAGACAGATCCATCGGTGAAAATGTTAAGTTGAGCAGTGCTAGGCGCTCTTTTAAAGAATGATACAGCTGTTTTTTCTGCTGGGTGCGTATCCCAGGGATCTAACAGTTTTTGGATTTTTTCCGTCTCCCAGGTCGTCCCAAGTATAGTGTGGTCACAGTTTCTCTGAAACAAGTGAAATGACGCGGCTTCTTTGTCGAGTGTTAGTGCTATTGGCATAATGTTTGAGAGAATATTAAGGTTGATATTGCTAACGGTGCGGTATGCTTTAGTTATTTTCAAAAGCGGCGTTCTTTGTACAGACTGTAGCTTTCTGGCCAAGTGCGAATTGTTTGTATTTTTACACCATACGGGGGCGGCGTACGTAATTGCTCGTTCTATTCCTCTGATATAAATGTCTCTGAATTGTGTCCCCTTGATGCCCCAGTTCACCCCGGAAAACATGCCGAGGGCTTGGGTGCTTTGAGTTATTTTAGATTTTAGATATTCTGCATGTGCCGTGAATGTTAGTTTTGAGTCGAAAACGACCCCGAGGATTTTTAATGAATTTACATGAGTGAGGTTGCGACCTCCCAATTTAATGGTTGGTACTCGTTTTTTATACCGATCTCCAATATCAAGAACTTCGCACTTGACCGGGTTAAAGCTTAGCCTTTTTTCATCTCCCCATTCTTTAATGAGGTTTAGCGCCCGGTTTGCATTGTCCTCCAGTTCTTTCCGTGATTTTCCCGTCACTATTAGGGTTACGTCGTCAGCAAATGCCTGAATCGTTATATTGTTTTCGAATCTTTGTTGAAGAAGATCCGCAATAACAACATTGAAAAGAAGTGGACTGAGGGGTGAACCTTGCGGACACCCCTTTACTGAGCTGATAGTAATTTTTTCGCTTTTTGTTAAGTAGGACATTTTGCGGTTTGTCAAAAAGTCTCGAACCAAATTGAAAATATTTCTGGGGCAGTTGTTTTCTCTTAGTTTGTTAATTACTACTGGGGCCCAGAGCGAGTTGAAGGCTCCCTTGATGTCCAGAGACACCAAGATTGCCCCCTTCCCCTCCCTCTTGACGTCCTCCAGCTTAGTTTTAATTTTGTATAACGCGCTTACTGCGGACTTTCTGTGGGTAAAGCCAAATTGGTTTTCATGAAGTAGTTTTTTAGAGTGTAAGAAATGGTACAGCCTAATGTTAATTAATTTTTCTAATACTTTACCAAAGATGGAGTTCAGACAGATCGGTCTATATCCGGAGGGACTGTCAACCCTATCTGTCTTTTTGAGTAGTATTATTTTTCCTTCTTTCCATTCATCGGGGAAATAACCAAATTCCAGACACGCGTTGAAATTTTTAAAAAAGAGTTCTTTAAAGTTGTTGTAGATTGTTCTCAGAAAAAAGTTTTGATATTATCAATTCCTAGTGCAGTTGTTAATTTCAATTTAGCCAAAACGGCCTCTACCTCTGCCGAAGTGAAGGGTATGTCATTGATTGTATTGATATCTTCGAGTGACATGAGACGCACGTTGGTCTCATGTGCCGAGTCGCTGTTAGGGTCATCTTCCTCGAATAGTGTTGTTAGGATAAAACGTACTGTCTCTGCCAGACTTCTCGTCCGAACTCCATCTGATAACACGAGAGGACAAAGCACTACCGGGCGTTTAAGTTTGTTAAGTGCTATCTTATATGGGAGGGTAAAAACATTATTGCCATGGACGACACCGCAGAACTCTTTAAAAGAGCTCTGCTTTGCATCCTTTATGTTGCTTTTATAATCTTTGTGCGCTTCATAATAGGATTTCTTAAATTGATCTCTATTGTTATTTTTGCAATTTTGATATCTGCGCCGAAGCGCCCGCATTTTTTTACGTTCGATAGAGAGTTGTGGGGTCCACCATTTAACTTCATTTGCTACCTTGGAATATATTTTCGTAAGTTCTTCAATTTTGTCATAAAGTGTTCTAATTACATGCTCTAAATGATTTTTGGAAACGAGAGGTCTGCTTGACATGTCCCTAAGCCAGCGGTCTTTTATTAATTTGTCTATAACCTTTATCTCGCCTGTTTTTGTTAGTCTTTTGACTGGGCACCTGTTTCCAAAAGCTGTAATTTTGATGTAGCTGTGGTCGCTGCCTGAAGGAGTGTCCAAAACCTCCCAATCCGAAATGTGTCCTAATGTGTGTCCATTTACAATAGTTAGATCAATCCAACTTTCGCCGTTTGGTGAGGCGAAAGTTGGGGACGAGTTTCTGTCATTGATCCACACTAATTCTAAGCTTATAAATAGGTCTGCTAATTCCTCTCCTCTCTGGTCTAATCTCTGTCCCCCCAGCTGGGGTTTTTTGCGTTAAAGTCTCCTAATAATATAAGTTTTTCTGATTTGTGCTGTTCTACTACTTCGGTGATTATTTGCAGCCAAGGTGTTATGTCGTCATCAGGTGGTATATAAACGTTTGCTAGCACAAACGTTTGGTTTTCTGTGTTACAGCGGACCACTAGCAGATCTCTCGCTACGGTAATAGGAAATGCATCGCAAAAGTTATCGTGAATTACCATTGCGACTCTGGGTTTTGTTTCGAATGCTATGACATTATCTTTAATGCTGAATCCCACAACCTTGTTTTTAAGATAATAAGGTTCCTGGATGCAGGTGATGCGTTGTTTAATTTCCATAGTATCTATCTTAAGTTGGTCTATAGCTCTTATACAGTGATTTGCATTAAACTGCAGGATATCTACTCTGCTATCCGAGCTGGTCATAGTTAGTGTTTTAAGTTAATGTATGTTCAGCTCAAAAGCGGGAAAAGATAACTATTGAATTAGAGCTATGTACCTATAAATGCCTGGTAAAGGGGCTTTTTAGTAGGCTAAATATCGTCGAGCCTGCTGCTCCTTCTCAAGCAGGGCCCTGCATGCCCTCGAACCAAACGAGTATTCGACGTGAAATCTCGTCTTGAACTTCTCGTTGCTCCGAACGCATGCACGGCACCGCTTCTCAATTGCCCTGCAGTTGGCCCCGGGGTGGTCACCGGAGCACTCAGTGCAGGCCGAGGACTGGTCTTTGCACACTTTAGCTGTGTGGCCATAAGTGCAACACTTCGTGCAGCGCCGGACGCCAAGGTTCTCATAGACGGGGCAGGACGTCCATCCGAGATACACCCTCCTCTTTTGGAGGAGGATGTCCCTCGTCTGGGGCCCAACCTCCAGAATATGGACCATGGTGCCCGATGCTGCCCGAAATGAGGCCACGACCTTGTTCTGGTCTTCGGTTGGGAGGTCGTTCATTGAGGTTAGGGTCTCAACTAGGTCCGCAGCTTCCACCCCTGGGTCAACCCCCACAATCTTGACCTGTGGGGCCCTTTTTTCTGAACGCCTAGTGGTAAGTTTAGACGCGGTTCCCGCATTGGCCTTAATGGCTTCCGAGAGGCGGTCTAGTCCGGCCGCGCTGTGACCGAGCACAATAGCCCCACCTCGCACTTGCTTGATCTCGACGCTGCCGAGTCCGAGCTCCGCGGGCTTGAAGGTAGTACGCAGCAGGTGGGAGATCCCTGCGTATGGTTCCACCCCAGCTGCTGGCTTGGTTGCCGGGTAGATCAAAAGGCTCTCCCTGGGGGCTGAGGGTGGTGTTGTTGGCTTGGGGACCTCGGGCAATGCCCCCCCCTGCTGCTGGCCGGCGGGGCTCGGGCTCGAAGTCGCCAGGTTCTGCTGGAGAACCTGCGAGAAGGTGCGGTGCAGGGCGGCAACACTCTCCGGCGTGGGGGAGGGGGCTGCGGGGGCTGGGGCCCTCTCCCTCTCTTCCTTGTACGCTTCCATTTTGGCAGCCAGTGCCGTGTTTTGGTTAATTAGATCCAGCGCAAAACCAAACAGACGATCGTATGCACCGTGCAGGTTGGCCACGTGGGTCTTACTGGTTTTAGTGCCCACCGCTGGGATTGCCTCACTTATGTCATGGTGCATGTCTACCAGAGTTGCGGCGTTCGGGTTAAGTTTGAATTTCATGTCTTTCGCCTGCGCGGCGAGCGTCTCTTGGGTCGGACGAGAATCCCCGTTGCCCTTCTCAGTTACCTCCTCCCCCGGGGGGGAGGCATCGCCAGTAGTGCTGCCCGGCATCTGAGCGTCTCAGATGACGGACAGGCTTGCCCAAGAAACGCCCAAAAGCAAAAATAAAAGCAAAACCCAAAGCCCAGCCGAAACACAGTACCAAAATCCCCAGCTACTCCTCGCGACGAAAGAAAACAGAGTCTTTTGTGCCAAAAATGGCGCGGACAAAATCACAAAGGGACACCCCTAAAAAGAATAGAAAATGGCCTAAAATGGGAAAAAAAAAGGCCAAACAAACGTACTCTCGCGACCGCGCTACTGCAACGAGTACCGACCTTAGCCCTGCACCGCCATGAGTGTTGAGAGAAAAAAAAAAAAACTACATGGCGTTTTCGGTCGGGAAGAAAAAAGGCGGGAAAAGTGCGCTTCAACAAAAAGCCTATAAAAACTGACATACACAAATTGCACCACCTGAAAAGGGTGGTGCTAGGCTTTTAGCTACACAAGGGACCTAGCTTAACCGTCCAGCTAATCGGAAAAACCCCCGAAAAGAAATAAAAAGAAGTTAGCCTGCGTAGTTCAGGCTTCCTTTGTTTGGCCCCCAACCTAGCACCCCACCACTTCGAAAATCAAAGTAGCTGTAAAAATGAAAGTTTTACCTCTACGAAAAAAACAAACACACGCTCGTATTTGCGCAAACGCGAGGAACACGGGCGTTAAATTTGTTTGTACGGGCGAGCGCTCAAACTCTGAGTTTGGACGCAAAATCAAGTGGCAACCATCTTGATTTTTTCCCGCTAGGCCTAGCTCACACAAAAATGTTCAGAAATCAAAGAAAATTAACTTTAGAAAAACAAAAACACCTGGAAACTAATCGGTATACCTTTAGACTCTAATACCTAAAAGAATATACTTCCAGCTAGCCTGGAAATATAAAAATTATACTTAGCTTGGGGAGCTCATTCGATACAGGTCTTGCCCCCTCGGCGCCTAGGGAAGAAGCATGAACTGCTGCGTTGTCGTTAAGTGCTCCAATATTTATGCGTCGTATCTTGTGGGGACAAAGTTTCACAGTTTTTCACCTCGCCGATGTTTTGTGGGACCGCGACAACGAATGACCGGTCGCGTAATACGCGAGAAATTTGGTCTCCGGATCATGTCTGCCACTGTGTCGGCACGGCTGACATATTCTACACTGCCGCTTTGCGCTCTGCGTTTGTTTTCGTACCAGTAATGCCATCCCACATTCACGGGTATGCAGTGCGAATTCCGTTGAAGGAATGCCCTCCAAGGAAGTTTCGTCCTCCTCGTACGTGTCGATGATATTTCCGGACCAGTACGGCACGCAGTCTGTACTTCATGAAGCAAGATTCGGACGGTACAAAAAGGGACCAATATGAATCTAAGGAAAACTACAATGAAACTTGGAATGAATGGACAATCGATGTTTGAGTATGGAAGTTTATGTGGTGTGCTTTCTTTTTTGATCGGCCTCCTTTTGGATGTGGAAACACTGACACCCCGAGTCTTGTTGACAAATTTTTTTTTCTCGGCTTTAGAGCTACCTATCGCAAAGTTCTTCGAACTGGAAGTACCGTCCACTGGTACCTTCCTACCTGTAAAGTGTGCACCTCCCGGCCATGATGAGTGGTATTCTTTTGACAGCCTTTGACGGTCAAAACCGGTTCCCATTTAGTTGCGCTGCTCAAAAATATTTCCACCTGGTTAAACTATGCCCTCTTTTTTATGTATAATAAGTGTTTTGTCAAGTTACAGTTGTCCAAGACCTGTGTGCCGAAAATCAGCCCCTCGCACAACCAGATTACTACACAACAGCTGACCGCAAAAGCCTTTGACGGCCAAACCGTGTGTTAATTGGCCGGCAAACTTGGTTTTCTCAGCTTTGAAGCCACCTTTCGTAAAGTTCCTTCAAATGGAAGTACAGTGCAGTAGTCTCTTCCTACCTGTAAAGTCTCCATCTCCCACGACCAGTGGCATTCTCTTCACAGACCTTTCACGGTCAAAACCGTTTCCCATTCAGTTACGCCGCCCAAACCTAATTTCCACCTGGCTTCCCTATGCCACCTATTTTTGGTATTATAACTGTTGTGTCAAGTTACGGTCATGTCCAAGAAACTCTGTGTCCAAATCTGCACTTCGCACAGCCCGGTTATAACACAAGATTTTGGATCCAATATTGGATATTCCTGACAGCTTTATTCCTTTATTCGTTAGAACTATAACTTTCACACCTGCTGTCTTAATAAACCTTGGCCCACTTAGTGAACATCTCACTCACCTCCAAATATCATCGTCCTAGCAGTCCTACGTTTACAGCGACGAGCGAAACAAATTTCCCACTGAGAGCAATTATGGTGGCGGCCGTCTTGCTCTTCGGAAAATTTCTCAAACCCCTTTTTCGACCACAACTAAAGAAATTACCCCTAATAACAACTCAAACTCAATATATAAGGAGGGGAGAACAGCCAAAATGCCTTTCTCAAATCTCTCCCAGCACTCATGCAACAACACCCTCAACTTATCGGCTCAAAAAGCAAAAGTTCCGTCCGTGCGCGCTTCCGCCGCCACAGCATCGCACGCGAAAAGGCGCCGCAGGCTGCTGAGCGCGCCTCACTGTCGAACGCCAGCTCCTCCGCTAGCGGCGCTACGCGCGTCTTTGAAAGCGCCCCCTATAGTTCCCGCACGGAGCGTATAGATAGTAAAAATCGATAGCCTTCCACCGCTAGTTCGTAGTAGTATTCGCGTGCGGAGAGAACACAGTTGTCGCACCGCCGCCCTCGCCTCCCTTTCCCCTTTCTTCGCCCCAAACTCCCGTCTTCGTCATCACTAAAAGCTGAACCAAAGTTGGGATGGTAAGTGCTTGGGCTAATTGGTGTCCCATTTGAGAAAATAAATTCAAAAAAATAGAAAAGGGAGCGACTAAAACTACTAGTGTCGGGAAACTATCGATAGTAAACCGTCGACAGTACTATAGATAGGTTTACGATAGTAGACTATCGATAGTTTCCCGATAGTCGATTATTGATAATTTTGTGATAGTCGACTATCGATAGAATCATCCATAGCTTTTAGATAGTCGACTATCGACTGTACTATCGATAGTTATTCGAAAGTCGACTATCGATAATTTTGCAATAGTCGACTATCGATAGTATTATCCATAGCTTTTCGATAGTCGACTACCGATAGTACTATCGATAGTTCTCCGATAGCCGATTAACAATAATTTTGTGATAGTCGACTCTCGATAGAACTATCCATAGCTTTTCGATAGTCGACTATCGATAGTACTATCGATAGTTATTCGAAAGTCGACTATCGATAGTTTTTCGACAGTCAACTATAGATAGTACTATCGATAGTCTTGCACCGCTAGTTCGAAGTAGTATTCGCGTGCGGAGAGAACACAGTTGTCGCACCGCCGCCCTCGCCTCCCTTTCTCCTCTCTTCGCCCCAAACTCCCGTCTTCGTCATCACTAAAAGCTGAACCAAAGTTGGGATGGTAAGTGCTTGGGCTAATTGGTGTCCCATTTGAGAAAATAAATTCACAAAAAATAGAAAAGGGAGCGACTAAAACTACTAGTGTCGGGAAACTATTGATAGTAAACCGTCGACAGTACTATAGATAGGTTTACGATAGTAGACTATCGATAGTTTCCCGATAGTCGATTATTGATAATTTTGTGATAGTCGACTATCGATAGAATCATCCGTAGCTTTTTGATAGTCGACTATCGATTGTACTATCGATAGTTATTCGAAAGTCGACTATCGATAATTTTGCAATAGTCGACTATCGATAGTATTATCCATAGCTTTTCGATAGTCGACTATCGATAGTACTATCGATAGTTCTCCGATAGCCGATTAACGATAATTTTGTGATAGTCGACTCTCGATAGAACTATCCATAGCTTTTCAATAGTCGACTATCGATAGTACTATCGATAGTTATTCGAAAGTCGACTATCGATAGTTTTTCGACAGTCAACTATAGATAGTACTATCGATAGTCTTGCACCGCAAGTTCGTAGTAGTATTCGCGTGCGGAGAGAACACAGTTGTCGCACCGCCGCCCTCGCCTCCCTTTCTCCTCTCTTCGCCCCAAACTCCCGTCTTCGTCATCACTAAAAGCTGAACCAAAGTTGGGATGGTAAGTGCTTGGGCTAATTGGTGTCCCATTTGAGAAAATAAATTCACAAAAAATAGAAAAGGGAGCGACTAAAATTACTAGTGTCGGGAAACTATCGATAGTAAACCCTCGACAGTACTATACATAGGTTTACGATGGTAGACTATCGATAGTTTCCCGATAGTCGATTATTGATAATTTTGTGATAGTCGACTATCGATAGAATCATCCATAGCTTTTCGATAGTCGACTATCGATTGTACTATCGATAGTTATTCGAAAGTCGACTATCGATAATTTTGCAATAGTCGACTATCGATAGTATTATCCATAGCTTTTCGATAGTCGACTATCGATAGTACTATCGATAGTTCTCCGATAGCCGATTAACGATAATTTTGTGATAGTCGACTCTCGATAGAACTATCCATAGCTTTTCAATAGTCGACTATCGATAGTACTATCGATAGTTATTCGAAAGTCGACTATCGATAGTTTTTCGACAGTCAACTATAGATAGTACTATCGATAGTCTTGCACCGCTAGTTCGTAGTAGTATTCGCGTGCGGAGAGAACACAGTTGTCGCACCGCCGCCCTCGCCTCCCTTTCTCCTCTCTTCGCCCCAAACTCCCGTCTTCGTCATCACTTAAAGCTGAACCAAAGTTGGGATGGTAAGTGCTTGGGCTAATTGGTGTCCCATTTGAGAAAATAAAGTCACAAAAAATAGAAAAGGGAGCGACTAAAACTACTTGTGTCGGGAAACTATCGATAGTAAACCGTCGACAGTACTATAGATAGGTTTACGATAGTAGACTATCGATAGTTTCCCGATAGTCGATTAATGATAATTTTGTGATAGTCGACTATCGATAGAATTATCCATAGCTTTTCGATAGTCAACTATCGATTGTACTATCGATAGTCTTCCAATAGTCGATTAACGATAATTTTGCAATAGTCGACTATCGATAGAATTATCCATAGCTTTTCGATAGTCGACTATCGATTGTACTATCGATAGTCTTCTAATAGTCGATTAACGATAATTTTGCAATAGTCGACTATCGATAGAACTATCCATAGCTTTTCGATAGTCGACTATCGATAGTACTATCGATAGTTATTCGAAAGTCGACTATCGATAGTTTTTCGACAGTCTACTATAGATAGTACAATCGATAGTCTTGTACCGCTAGTTCGTAGTAGTATTCGCGTGCGGAGAGAACACAGTTGTCGTACCGCCGCCCTCGCCTCCTTCTGTCCTCTCTTCGCCCCAAACTCCCGTC